TTTGTCGTGTCAGCACCCCGGTAATCTTTCGGGCCTCACGCGGTCTCGGCGCCACTCCTCTCCGCTGTTCTTCGAGTGGATCTGGCCCCCTTTTTTAGGTCGGATACAAACAGGCGCACCTGTCTCGCATTATAGGTTTCAGTCATGGTTGGGCGCCCCGGCCCCCTCTCGTCTTTGTTCCCCTCATAGCACTCTTGCACAGCAAAGCATATAAGCCATAAAAAAAAATCAGGGTAAATCGCCGAAATGAGAAAGGAGGCATCACCTAAGGGAGGGAGGAACAGGCCACGACCCCACCAGACCTCCCGTAGCCTCGCACCACAATCCTACCATCGGACTTCCCTGGCAAAAAAAGTAAACCCAAGGGGGATAGTCCTATGGGGACCCTCAACCCCTTGGTTCCTCGCTGCTCCGTCGCTCCCGTGCTGCCGTCCGCCGACCTCGAGCCTCGTACCTCTGCCGAAACAATCCAGTGCTGTAACCGATAGGGCTAAGCCCAAGCTTGTGGCCAGCAGGCGCGGCTTCCCACATAAGGTGGTCTCACGCGGCGCCTCCGGGCCGGGGTACCGCCTCGGCCACTCGTTCGGCCCCCACTTACATTCGTGGCCCCCTTGGCGTATGCGCCATCCTGCCAGCCTGGTCTGGGTCATCCCATGCGCCTACCGGCGCGTCAACCCTACCGCTGGACGGCGCGCACCGATAAAAAAAAATGGGCTTTCACCCCCTAATCAATCTCGTGGCTCTAGTAAGGGTTGGCCGGCTACCCCGGCCGCCCACTCAATCAGAAAATCACACGCGCGCCTTAAAATTGTGCGCCCACGTACCCCCTACCGGGACAAGGCAGACCCTTGCCTACGTGCGAGCGACTCTCACATTTTTCCGCACGGGCACTCAAGATCCGGGCTAGCCAAGCCTTTCTGTCACTTGCAAAAACCAGGGCGGATACCCTTGTAAGGGTATTCGCGCCGACAGCTTACCAGACCATATTAAGCGACGTCCCCGTCGCGTCGCCAAATCAGAAAGCTATAAATCCACTCACACTCCAAATGCTGACGAGATTAGAACCAATCCTATTAGCCAACAGACTCAGGGGTGAGGCCTCCATCAAGCCGTGCCAACACAACTATATGCTGCCACGGTTTCAACCTCGGTTTCCATTGCCCTGACACCAGGACGCCGGTGTATTACGCATCAATACTACAGCATAAGTTTCAAAGGCCCCCAAACCATCCTCTTCCCCTTCGTTCTAGACAACCGCCGACTTCTCGTTGGGTGTTCCAGTTAGCCTCTTTCTCGTAGACAGAGCCATAACTAGGGATGCGGGCTTTGAGTGGGACCTGTGAAGGCATTCTTGCCTTCTTTCAGCGACTTTCTCACCATCAAGCAAAATGTATATATATAACTTATAGCCTCTCTCGGTCGTTTCTGCAGTCTAGTACAGAAACGCCAGGTCTCCATCTGAGTCCACCATAGCCTGGTTGGTCGGGACAGGTCTACGGCCCACCGCATTGTTACCTTACCGGCAGTATCCTCCCATTGGTTATACAATGGCAAGTATATCCCTGACAATCAATCAATCAGGGCCTCCAAAGACTTGACTCTTATCCCGTAAGGTAATTTCCCTGGAGCGGACAACTCCCCTTAAACTCTTACCTCGCGGGCCCGCGGCCAGGTTGTGCCGGCTAGCAGGCATCCATAAGGGGTTGCGCCGAGGTGGCACTAAACTTTACCGTTAGCTTGGTATTCCCTCAAATATGTCTCAAAATTAGTACAGGTGGCCCGACGGGGCATCACAAACAATTCACGGCCGCTGCGGGACTACGCAGGGGTCTGAAGGCATTTACCGGCCCTCCTATAATAGGCACGGCATCCTTCGCTCAGTCACAAACAATCTCCCCGCCGGATCCACAAGGCCGCGGCTCCTGGCTTGATCAGAGCCAGCGGTCGCCCACCCCGATGCATCTTCCACCCTTCTCAAACATTTCAAGCAAACATGGTCCCCTCTCGTCAGACTTTATCAGCACAGACAATGTTTTCCACAGCATTCAATTTTTATCCACCCTTGCTTGGTGAAGGGTGCCTTTCACAAAAGGTTTCCTGGTCATCCCCTTTTTGTATGGGATGACTCCTCACACGACCTCTTCCAAAACCACGAAAGGGCATCCATACAATGCAATTCCCACCTTCCAGAACCATGAAGGAGGTCTTAATCATCAAACAACTCAAATTGAGGGACCACCTTCTGGGTCCCTATACAACCTAGGCAACGGTGTTTAGTGCGACCAAACATACAAATTTCTGAAACCATCAATCCCGTAGGATTCTCACAGTTTTTTCACAAACAGGTTGCACTTCCCCTCCTTATACTCTGCCTTCTCGTCCGCCTGCAGCAGACCGCACGAGTATGTCGGAGGGTAGACAGCTTTACGGTTTATACAATCATGCCCATGAGATGTATCCTGTACCTCTCTCACACAAAGCCAAACATTCATCGAGACAAATCCACACATGTGAGAGTGATAGTGATCGTCACAGGACAAGTCTCATAGGATCTCAACTCATAGTACACTCAGGGAGTAGAATGCCCCCCCCCTAACTATCAAATACAAGCACTCAACTCAATACCCCTCCTGTCTGAGTAGGACTCATAACCCCACTGTACACTCATCAAGTGCACTCGGGAACACAGCATCTGCCTAATCATCCACAGAATACCTAGCCCCTGTCCTCCCCTGCTGGGAGAACTCACACCCCGAGTGCTATAAACCCCCAAACCCAATTCAGAGCAACAATAGCCTCTGAGTCACAAAACCAAATGTAACTAAATGGTCTCATATATCACACGGTTGGGTCCTACCCCTGGGTCATAGCCCACAAAGAAACTCAAAAGGAAACAAGCGAACAAAAGTCACACGCATATGTACAATCGGATAGAAACTCATCCCACCACTCCTACGCACACACACATCTAGGGCCCGCTCAAGTGACTCAAGGTATATACACCCCTAACCCCGCCCTGCGTGTGTCAAGGATCTCTAGTCCTATCAATATATAGACAGACCGATCCCTACTTACATAATTCCTCTCGGTTCTGCCTATATAACTGAGCCACGCCCCCATCTGGAGCTCGCTCCACTACCCTGCCCTGTCTGTCATAGAATTTGTCGTCGACCTCCGCAACTCGCCCCTCGGCCTTATCCTCAAGGAGCTCTGGGCGGTCCACGGCTCTATGCCCTCCCTCCTTGCACCAAAAACAGGAGGTATCGTGCCACCTGGCAGTCTTCTTCTTTCTTCCTTGTGAACTCGATGCCGAAGGCGTTTCCATGGTCCCAGTAGTCACCTCATGACACGAGGACGATCCCATATGGCCCTGAGGTCCGGGCTCCATAGCCTCAGCACCTCCACCCCTTCGTGCGACGGTGCTCCCTGGCCTGTCGTCTGGCATATCCAACTCTCGGGGTCCTTCCTCATGAGCCCTCTCTATCTCCACCACCACCTCATCCCCACATAATTCCGACGGCTGAGGGCCCACCATGGTGGTGGGCTCACTCATGACCTCCTGCTGCTGCTGCTGCTGCCGCGAGTCGGGCCCTCCTGAGTCCGTCTCCGTGGCCCAGGACCCCAGCTCCGCCCTCAACTCCCCCAACCTCGGGACATGCTCTGGAGCGTCGAGTCCCTGAGGCCCCTCCTGTGGAGTGCCTATCCCTATGGTTGTCGCCAGCTCATGCAAGCGTGAACCTCTCCTCTCCGTGAACATAGCCATAAGCGACTCTTGGGCGCCACCCTCCTCCTCGACTGCGTCCAAGGGCGCCTCCTCCATTGGCTCGGCTTGTCGAGGGACCTCCACCGCTGCTCCTTGACCTGGAGAAGCCTGCACCCCTCGGCCCTCGCCATCGGCACCGGCTCGCCCCTCGCCATCGGCACCGGCTCGCCCCATCTGGCTCGCCTCCCAGGCTACCGAGAGCCTATCCACAGCGGCTGTCATCTCCCCAAATCTCCTCTCCCATTCAACCTCTCTAGCTTGACTCCTCGCCCTCTCCTCGGCAAGCTGAGTAGTCAGGTGCTCTACCTCCAGCTCCTTAACCCTGAGCTCATTGCTGAGTAGATAATACCACTGGAAAGATGTGACTGTCGTCGCGCATACCCTCCGATCCATGCGCTCAATTGCCTGCCTGGTCGCGGAGAACCCCAAGTCCCCCATCTCTCTCAGCTCACTCATCTCCTCGTCCGCCTGTCCTGCCTCTCGTGACCTCTGGCGGGCTGCATCCCTCTGGCTCTCATACCTAGCCCACAACTCGTCGATCCTCTGCTCACTCGTCTTGGGCTCGACCGGCGGTGTCGGCTTTATCCCCGCCGCCTCCATCTCAGCCTGTCTTGCGTATATCTCGTCCAGACGGACCCGCACTCAGGCGGACTTCTCTTCGCGGGTCTCTCTTGGGGTTCCTCCCATTCGCGGCCCCTGGTCTCCTGGAGTCGATGCCTCCGCCTCCATCCCAATGCTCGCGCGCGGCACTACTGGCGGTAACTCTGCTGAAACGGGCTCCTCGATGTCCAGGCTCTTGGTCGCCTGCGTGGCCGATGGCAAGTCAAGGGGCGCCTCCATCCTCGCTCTCTCACACACACCCTGGTTCTCCGCCTCTGCCTCCTGCTCAGGTATAGCGGTGGCCTCAGGGGGAAACTCCGGGATCTCCTCGCCGCCTGGATCAGGAATCCCCTCTGGCCATGAATGTTGTGCTGACTCTGGAGCTGGGGAGCATGGAGGGGTATCGTCCCCAACCGTGATCACCTCTCTCCCCTGAGGTCGTACCGGATCCGGCCGCTCGGCTGCCATCTCAGGGTCATGTGGCTCCTCTCGGTCTCGCATGTCAGTCTCCATCTCAGGGTCGAGGGGCTCCTCCAATAGCACGTCGCACGCCGGCTCAACTGAGCCCCCTCCCAGCCGTGAGGCCTCCCATTGGGATACATCAAGATGCGTCGCCAAGCTCCGGAATGGCGTCTCTCTTGGTATGTCCAGCTCCTGCGTTGATGGCAATGGCAAGGGCGGCCTCAACCCCTCGCTCGTAATCCGTCGAAACTCAACCGCCCGGAGGCCACAAGCGGGGAATGACTCCCTTGCCAATGCGGCCTCTACGGGCTCATCCTCCCGCTGGGCCGAGGCTCCCCTCCCCTCTCTGGCCAGCCCCGCCTCTCTCGGTGCCGGTTCCCTTGGCCTCTTGCTTCGCCACTGCCTCTCAACTCTGGGCTCGTGCCTCTCGTGCTGTGGCCGTCCGAACGCCCTCCTAAGCTGGGCCTGACAGTCCTCCCAGTCTCGAGCCCTCTCTTGAATCTGTTTGACCGCCTGCTTCTCTGCCCGCCTCGTCCATATAAGTAGGGCCTGCACCCATTCCCCCTGCGCAACCCCCAGACTCAACATGTAGTGCTCATATGCGGGGATGAACTCATCTACGTTCCCCTCCTCCAATCGAATGGGCATGCCATCACGCCCCCTAGGGGAAGCTCTCAACCGCTGCATCCTGGCCTCCACGTCTGGCCAAGTCAGGGCCTCCTCACATATCTGAGCGACAGGCTCCTCGAACCGCCCTATGCCCCTCAAGTGGTGAATCCTCTCCGCCACTGACCACCTTCTCTGTGCCGCATGGTCCCAATATACATCCAAGCAGAGCTCAATGTTGTCATCATCAAACTCAGGCGTAGGCTCCCTCCTAGGCGGCTCATTCTGCTCGCCTCTTCCCTCCATCCTCTGGGGCCCCTGGCGTGGCCAAGTGTCCCTCCCGCCCCTCTGCATGACTGCCTTCGAAAAGTCAGACCTGCACAACAGGCGAGAGACAACAAGCAGGCACACAGCAGGGTCAGCAACCGAGTCATAGGCCTAGGGGAATCCCACATACTTTCCACACCCATCCACCCTTATCATCCACCTATCTAGTCACCTGACCTGGGTAATACCCAGGCAAGACTCTATTCCTAACGAGGTCTCATGGCCCTTACTTATTCCCTGGCCACAAACTTCTTCAGCCTTGTCCCTGATACCCAGTCCTGCCATCCCGCCCCATCCAGCTCCTCAATTTGGTAAGCCCCAAATTCACCACACCGCACGATCCTATAGGGTCCCAGCCACCGCTTGTCGAGTTTCCTAGACCATTGCTTTTCCAGCGAGGAGTCATACAGCAGTACCACATCCCCAACCTTCAGCGGATCCTCCCTTATTCGGGTCATCTAGTCCCACCTCATTTTATCTTCCATACGGCTCCTCTCCACCTGACCGGCGGCCTCTCGTAACCTTTCCTCAGCGGCTCCCACCTGTCGTGCCCGTATATCGAGCAGTTCTTCAAAGGACAGGTTCACTTCCAGGTCTTGGCGCCTCCACGTTTTCATAAAGTTTTCTATGGGAAAGGTGGTATATCTTTCATACCATAGTGTGGCTAGCGCATTCTTGGTAGTCCTTTTCACTGTAACATTCTCCACGAAGAATGTTGCTCTTAGGAATTTCAGCTACTGGTTAGGCTTTCCTTCAGTCCATTTGGCCAGGAGATTCGTGATGGTACTATGCCCCCTCTCCACAGGCGCGTTTGCCTAGGGGTGCGCGGCAGTAGTGTAATTTGCTACCACGCCATATCCCACAAGCAAGGTCCGCACCTCGGTACAAGTAAACTCCGACCCCCGGTCCATCACAAACTCTCTGACAAATGGATAGCGCAAGTAGTACTCTTCGATGCACCTTGCTAAAACTGGGCCAGTTTTTGTGCGGATAGCCCGACCGTCCACAAACCCAGTAAGGTTGTCCCGTGCATCGAAGATATAGTTACTTCCATCCTCCCCAAGTGGCATGAACAACAGGTCCACGTGTACAACTGCCCCCACTTCCCTTTCCAGTCTGGGGTGCAGAGGCTTCCTAGGCCTTTGCGCCGACCTCTGCTGGCAAGTTACACAGGACTGGCAGTACTTGATGACCATAGTCAGCATTCCATCCCAATTGTAGAACTCGCTTATCTTCGCGCACGTGGCACTAACCCCTCTATGCCCCCCTGCTATACCATCGTGCAAGGCTGCTATGACATCGATCTGCCGGTTCCTTCCACATACGATCCTCTTGGGGTTTCCAACTTGTCGCTTTATAAATAGGTGGTCATCTCTTACCACGTAGAGATGCCTTATCTTCTGGACTTTGGCGCTCGCGTCCCTATCCCTCATTTCGCACGACAAGAGTAACCCCAACTCCGGATAAATCCCATCATACTCCTCAGCTCGGAAGGCCTCCCTGATGTCTCCCTCAGGAATAAGAAGCTCGCCCTCCTCTGAACTCGCGGCGCTCCTCTGGCTAAAGTTCCCCTGCAGGAGCGTGTTGGTGAGCAAGTACATTCCGCCCATCAGTTGCTCATGCTCCTCTATCTGGGTCGGGCCTTCCTCTATCGTTCTCACCTCCTCCGCCAGACTATATGTCCCTGCTAATGCTAACTTCATCATTTAGCCAACATCTCTACTCCCCCACGGGTCTTCTTCCTGGAAGGGTTTGAGGACCAACTCCTCCTTCTGCTCGTACCCGCTTGGTGCTAGCCATATAGGATGTGTGACGCAGCTAGGCACCCTCAGCGACCACTCATTTATGTGGAGGCGGACATCCTCCTCCTGATCCAAGAACCCGTCAACTGGTGGGGTATCCTCAATCGACTCTTGACCCGCCCCATCCCAGTTGATACGGCTCAGCCCAACTGCCTTGTTCTTATCCTCGGGAATCCTCTCCAACTCAAAGTTAAGCATCCAAATGTAAGTCAACCACCTCGCTATGGTTGAATCAGATGGAGTATAACTTTTCAGGGAACACGCAAGCGCAGTAGGGTCCACCCTCAAAACGAGTCTCCTGCCAAAGATGTAATTACGGAAGGTCCTTAGGCAAAGGAGCACCGCCAACGTTTCTTTCTTGAACTGCGAGTAGTTTCTTTTAGTCGTATTGAGGGTGCGGCTTTCAAATCTCAGCGGCCTCTCCTTCCCATCAGCATCTGCTTGAATCAGGGCCCCTCCTAGGGCAGTTGGCCCAGCATCCATCTCGGCAACGAATGGTTTCTCCTCCGTGACTTCGTAATTCGGCGCCCCCAGCACCAAACCTCCTTCATTTGAACTCTCTCTTCATCCCTTCTACGGCCTTTTCCTGGTCTTTGCCCCAGACCCATTCCTGATCCTGACGCACCAGCTTCCTCAAGTGCTCAGTCTTGGTGGCGAAGTCTTTCACGAAACTCCTCCAAAACCCGCAGGTCCTAAGGAAGCTCCTTACGTCCGTTATCGATTGGAAGGGGACTAGCCACTCTAGGATCTTATCCGTTTTCTTCACGTTTGGCCTCCGCCCCTCCTCGTTGCAGACAAAGCCCAGAATCGTGGCCTCCCTCATACAATGTTTCGACTTGGGGCCGCTCGCCGTTAGGTTGTGTTCTTCCAGCAGACCCAGAACCTGGTCGATATCCTGGACATGCTTCCAGACGAACCGCCTTACTCCTGGCATCACTTCGTCTTCCTCCTTCTCCTTTGGACCCTTGACCGCCAAGTCGTCAATTTAGGGCTGAGTGATATGTGGACTAACTGTCTGCATGGCCCTAATCATGTGCCTTTGCACCATTGCCACCGCATTAGTCCACCCCTGAGGTGCCACGTTCATGTGGATCAGCCCCCTTGGCGTATGCATCGTCATCACTGGCCTATCCGGTGGGTACACAGGAAACTGGTCATACCCAGAGTAAAGGTCTATAAGTGAGATTATAGGTCTTCCTGCGCATGATTCTGACAGGGCGTCTGCGTTCGGCAACCCTCTCGCGTCCAGCACCGTTACTACATTCAATCGTTGCAAATCCTGCACCCACCATAGCGTTTCGTTTGGCTTGATAAAACAAAACCAGGGGGAAGCATACGGTCCACTGGAGTAATCTACCACGTACGTCCTCATCTTCCCATCCAAGTAATCCACCACCTTCTTCTCCTCATCTGGATTCGGGTATCGTGCGCCCCTCAAGTTCCACGGCTTGTGTGGGACGGTATGGATTCGTATCATCGGGATCCTATCCACGTCCAACCTCCCATGCTCGTTGTCATTAAACGCAACTCCACCTCTCCCACCTGAGGGCTTTCTAGGACCTGCTCTCTCAACGCCTTTATGGCCTCAGGGTCCGCCATATCATGCGCCGTCACCACCTCCATTGCCTTATTATTTACATCATTAAGGCTCAGGGACAATACCTCACCTGCTCCTTCCTCCTCCTGCTCCTCCCGGAGCCTCCGTCGCGCATACTCAGACCCCTCAAAAGTGAAGGAGCCGAGGTTGAGCCTGTTTCTCGCATTTCCGGGCCCTGTGTTCTGGCACTTGATGATCTCGTAATTCCCGCAGGCCGGATCAGATAGGGCCAGGATCATCGTTCCCTCATGCCTATTGAAGACCAAGGTCTCTGTTCGACAGAGGAACGACCTCCCCAAAAGAATAGGGTGGTCGACGTCGGGCATGACGAAGAAGCACGTTCGTGCCCTTACTCTCCCGATCTCCACCATCACATTAGACGTAGTGCCGCAGAAAATAGCCTTGCAGTTGGCGTCGTGCAGCACACCATGGTCCGAATGGTCAACTTCTAGCCCTAACATCGTCGCGTCCCGCTCCCGGATGATATTCATCTTCGCGCCCGTGTCCACCATTGCGATGCTCGGCTGGTCCCTCACCTTCAAGTCCACCAACCCACACGCCACACATTTCAAATCCATCCTAGTGCCCGCCTCTGTCCACTCTATCTCCCTGGGCAGAATTGAGCTCAGGTGGACATTGGCCACTAACCTTCGCGAGAGCCACCCTTTCAGCTCGCCATGGAGCCTTGGTGCCGAGGCCAAAATGTCCTTTAAATTCATCAGATCGTTATGGTCCTCCGGGAGCTTGTCCACCATTCGCTCCACGTCAAAGCCCTCCTCCAGTCGAACTGCATACTTTTTCCTCTTCGGTACGCCATCATGCAAGTTTGACCCCGCCACTCCTTAAGCCCCTCTCTTCCTGGCCCTCTGTTCCGCTCTCCGGTCCTCCTCCTGCCGGAGCCCCTCGTCCTCCTCGTCATCACCCTCATCTTTCGTTTCTTGAACCTCTACCACTTTTTTCCTTTGCTCGGGCTCAGGGTCCTTCCGAGAGGGTGCCCGACTAGGTGCCTGGCTAGGCCCCTGACTGGCGATAGCCTTGCTTAGGCCCCTAGTCTGCGCGGCCTGTGGTACCCTTCCATGCGATGTAGGGGGCCTGAAGGTCATCCCTGACCAAGGACCTGTCCCAGCCGTAGCCACACTTGGACACCCTTGCGGTCCCGATGATGGCTCCGGGACGGACCCATAGAGCATCACCTCAGGGAGATTCATCTCCCACTCTCGGGCCTTTTCACACATCGCCCTCAGCCGTTCCTGATACCTGCCGGCCTTTGCAAGCAGGTCCTCCATCCTCTCTAGGATGGTCAAGGCTGATTCTCTTACCTCTTCCTGCGCCTCATCGTCGGACTCAACAACTATGGGCTCCTCCTTTATGGCCCCCGCCTTCAGCTGCTGAGTCACTTCCTCATTTTCGCCCACAATCTCCTCGACTCTTACACCCAGATCTTGCCTTTCCTGCCATATCCTGAACATTGCTGGGGCCGCTGGAGGCCCTGCCGCTGCCCGCCTGAGAGCTTCCTGCCTAATTCCTCCCGGGGTCTTGGGATCAATGTGCTTTCCCCACCGGTCATATATATCCCCGTCCATACAGGTGGAGATTAATCCTGCCAGCTCGTCGTCGCGCCGTTGTTGGCAGAATCATACAGTGTGGCCCACCTTGCCACAATGCCAACAAGTTGCGTTCCGCCAGTCGAAGCGAGCCCTCCCATACCCTTGGCCCCCTCCCTGGCTGCCTTGGCCGCCTTGGTTCTGACCCCCTTGGCCATTCCAGCCTCCTCCACGGCCTCCACCATTTCCTCCTCGCCCCCGACTGCCCCCTCCTCTACCTTCTTGGCCCCGGCCCCCATTGCCCTGCTCGCCTTGTCCTTGGACCCCTCCCCCGGCCACACTAGCTTGCGAGGCCTGCTGGGAGGGCGGCGGTTGAGTCACGGGCTGAATTTGGGTCGCTGGGTAGCTCAGGGGGCCCATACTTGCTGATGGGACTGAATAGGCGACCATGTGCCCCGTGTGGACCTGACTCCCTCCACACGAGACACAGTGGTTGCAACTGGGCCAGGGCGCGGACTGACAGTGCGGCACCCAGTGCCCACAAGTTGGTGGCGGCCCCATGTGCGATGGCCCTGGCGGCGCTGGCGCGGCCGCCGCAACAGGCGGTGGCGCGGCAATGGCTTGGGGGGCCTGTCCCTTCCCTGACCCCTACCCTTCTTGCAGCAGATTGCGTTGCTTCCTCTGGGCCTTAGTTAGGGCTTGGGAACCTGTCTCCCCTCCGCCATAGTCTTCTTGCCCGGCCTCCTCATCTACTGCCCCTAACACCCGGCCTTGGGCCATTGGCACCCCTCTCTTTTGTATCTCTGCTTCATTGTCGTACCCTAGTGCCGCCAATACGTCCGTGACAATTCTCTTCACCCCCGGGGTCCCGGATACAGTAGCATCCCTCTCCTTCCTCTTGCGCCTTTGCAACCTCATTTGGTGTTGCTCCACCTGGTCTAGACTCCCTTCTTCCACTCCCTTGTCAATGGTTGCCCAGGTGAGCCTCTCGCTTCCTTCCCCATACTTCGTCAGCTCTGTGGCTTCCGAGCCTGTGAGCAGCCCCAAAAATATAGCGCATTGCGCCTCCTCGGAGATCCCGTGCACTTTCCTCGCCTTTTTCTTGAACTCGTGCAGGAACGCCCGAATGGTAGAGAAATCTTCCTTATTCATGGCCTCCAAGTCGGCCATGGTCAACAAGCCGTCTCCCAGCCTGTACTTCCTTCGCATTAGGTCCCCAAACTTTGTCCAACTGCCACCGGCGGCATCCACAACCTTAGTTACTTCCCGATGGTGGCTATGCAGGACATACCTCAGGACCCGCTGGAGCTTGACCTCATCTGACAGTCCCACCAACGCCTGCTCTGTCAGATCCATCCATTCACATACCCGATCCCCTTTGACGTGGAATGTCTCGACCTTTGGGGCGTTGCTCGGCGCCCTCTCGCGCTTGTCTAGGGCATCGATGAGGTCATCGAGCGTCACAAGCTTCCTCCCACCGTCCGCCATCTCTTCTGGCATCTTGGCCAACCACCTTCGACTTCAATCTTCCTGTTATAAGAGACGATGGGACAGAGGACCCCACTCAGCGACTCAACCTTTCATGAGCCTATCGGGTTGACCACCTTAGACACCCCACACTCTAGACCTGGCAGACATTCCTTCTCCTACTTCCCTTGGGCTTACTTAGATAACACTTATCCTCCCCATAGGACCTCCTCATCCACATACAACACTCAGCTGTCAACCAAACCACCAATCAATCAATCATCCAACCCATAGTCATATAAATCATCATACAGTATGTCCCATAACCCTTCTCTTTGCCCGCTCATATGCCTAGTTCTCCCTCACTCTCGTACCCAGATGTCGTTCCACCAGGGACAACAGTAGGCTTCCGTTATCCCTGGCAACGGCGCCACCTGTCGAGCGCATCGGTCCCGAACAATCATCATACGTATATCCACGCATACATACGAAAGGGGGGATAGAGTTATGACGATCACTTCTCACAGGCACAGTGGGACTCCTCACAACCATGTATATGTATATGGAGTCGCAGGCAGTCCAAATCCAAAATCCGAGTCACAAGACATACCTGCAACCACACCAAGAATCAAGTGACAAAACACGCACTACACGGAGTCAACCCCAACCATTCTCTATGCTCATACCCCTTCGCTTTAGCCATGCAAGCCCCAACTGCCAGCCCAACCAACCTCAATTAAATACTCAGTACCTTTGTTAAATGGCCATTCAACAAAAGTCCGGGTGGAACCCTTAACAAACAGTAAAAACCACCAGGGCTAAAGTCTTTTAGGTTGAGTATGGGGAGTRAGTTGAAATTGAGTCGAAGACCGGCGAATCGGCAACCGACCTRTTATCAGTGATAACAGAAGACGATCCTCCAGGGATCAAGTTGAATCTAATCTTGATCTTGAATCGAACGATCAAGACGACCTGTAACACATGACAGGCCAATCCCCAAGCTGAGATCATGAGCACATAGAGAATACAACTCCATAACATATTCTCACCCAAATCCTCCTAGCTAGCTAAGCCTGAATCTACCTCGAGGCGGTGCCCAAAGCGAAGGCAGACCCTGGCTGAATCTCCCCTATTCAGGGTGGATCGTTAGAATCGCCATCTATCAAAATATAATCTAGCTCCTCTAAATCAAGAAAATTTCGGCAACGCTTCCCGTAGGAAAAGTGTCTCTCCAAAGTTTATATCAGCCCAAATATGAAAATAGAAATAATCTCCAACTCTGGAAAGCCAGATTCTATCTAACTTCCTGAATTAGTATAAATTTGGACAGCAATCCTTTTAGAAAGGGAGACTTCCCAGATTTATACTAGGTCAGGTATGAACTCACAAGGCAACTTGAGTTCAACTTAGACAAGTTTTGACKAACTCCTTAGTTTTGCAGAAATTTCGGCAGCACTCCCCCTAGAAAAGTGCTTTCTTGAAATTCATACAAAGCCAAGTTTAGAACCTGAGACTAACTCTGATATCCCAAAGCCCAATTTTGTCTAACTCCCTGAATTAGGAAAAATTTTGGCAACATTCCCTTTAGAAAAGGAGGCTTTCCTGATTTTTACTAAGTCAGATATGACAAAAGGACGAGCTAAACTTTGGCAAGTCAAAATTAATCTAACTCCTTGAATCTGTAGAAATTTCGGCAACGCTTCCCGTAGGAAAAGTAGCTTACCAGAATTTATACAGGTCCAAGTATACTAACAAGCCTCAGGAAATGCAAAAATCGGTCTAAGTAAAATAAAGTCAGCTCAGCAAATGCAGAAATTGACCTAACTCTTATCGCTCTAGCACGTGGCGAGCCTCTAAAGCAACTACCTGTCAACCTGAAACCCAGACCAAGTAGTAATCTCACTCAGCCACATGGAGGCCAAACCATAAAGGTAAGTACTATCGCCATTCCTAAGTTCTTTCTGAACAAACAATAATTCATGATCTTTCAGTGAGTTATTCCTTCATACCCAGCTTACATAAGCCATAAGTCAGGGCACCTGAACTTACAGAGCGCGCCCAACTTAGCCAGGCCCAAAGTCAGAATACCTAGACTTATAGAGCGTTCTGACTTGGCCAGGTATACATAAACAGAGGGCACAACTACTTCTCTCTTTCTTGGGCGTATGACTGGACCCCTCTAGTCGCCCTGAACTGTTTAAATAACCAGCTTATATATATCTCTCTGAACTTAATCTTCGAAGGGACATAAGGCTAAGCCGCTCAACTTAGAACATTGTTCAGCCTGCCCATATTTACCTTCGGTTATACCTCTTTGTTATACTCTCTTCAGTTATGATAAGCTGTAGTCAGGCTACCTAAACTTATAGAGCGGCCTGACCAGCCTATTCGTAATAGCATAGTAATACAGTATAGTCAAGTTATATCCATTGGGTTCCAACCTGTGCGAGGCATTGGGTCAGACTACCTAAACTTATAGAGTGGTMTGATCCTCCGCCAGGTTCGTTTCTCTCTGGTCCAATYTGTGCTAGGCAGTGGGACAGACTACCTAAACTTATAGAGCGGTMCGTCCCTTGCCAGRATTATTCCCTCAAAACAAAACAGAAGAAGGGTTGAGCTACCTAAACTTATAGAGCGGCTCAGACCTCCTTGTTCAGAACCAAAGAAACTKAGAGAATCCCAAGTAAGCGAGGCAACTCAAGGTACCTAAACTTATAGAGCGCCTTGGGTCCCTGAAAACCACTCACAGTCATATCCCCACAAGTCAGAGCAGTCAGGACACCTAAACTTATAGAGCGTCCTGACCCTCCATGAAGTTCACAGCACCGGGTCTCCCCAAACTTATGGGGACATCCCAGCCTCCAGAGCTTCCGGCTACCTAAACTTATAGAGCGGTCTGAGGCACCATGCAAACCAAAAATAAACAAAGCGCTGGGCTTCCCCAAACTTAAGGSGACCTCGCAGCCTTAATGACCCAGTCAAGCTGCACACAATRCTGCCTTCCTCCCAACCTTCCCTCAGATGCAACCCATCTCATCCATAGTCGGTTTTCAGGCAATCAACAAACCTGAAACTGAGATTGCACACACACTCCCTTACTTCAGTCTGATTAAAGTCCTGACAGTCAAATCAAAATCAAAGTACAGGATCCAGACAATACACTCAGTCAAGCRTAGAGAGATATAAAGGTAGAGGTTATAGTTGGGTTTATAGAGGGAGTCAAGGGYTTACCACTCAGTTCCCTGCCTCCAGGACTCCGCCTGAGTCCCGGCAGAGSTCCCGCAATCRGTKGGGCAACCTCCCACAAARGCCTTGACAYGGATTACGGGCCACACGCCCGCCTGCCGCCTTCCTCTCAAAGCCAAAGACTAGACTTWAGARTAAGAAGGGCAGGATGAGAAGGAGTAAGACTYTCAGACTTAGGRAGGACACWCTCAGACTCACGCGAGAGGGCCTTTAAATCTTGATGCGCCTGAGGGCCCCGCAATGATGGCCAAACAATGCAGGAGCTTGGTCTGGTCAGAAGTCAAACGCCGAAGTCAAACTCTCCGACGCCCTCCCGAACTGCAACAATGACCTCTTTCCAGTCTTGACACCGCAGGTTGCAATAGCCAGCAATCGCCGCGGCGGTATGCAATAGTACCCCGCGGTCAATAGGGAGCAGTCGCTCACGCACAATTGATGCACAGCTGCAGTCCGCAACAGACCTGGGGTGGGGGTGCCACGAGCATACCAACACCACGGTTGTATGGTAGTCCGCACAATCCTCCCGACAACCGCACAATCACCGGTAACAACGGCTGCAGTAGCCTGCACTCGCGATACACACAGTGATTCTCATCCGATACCGCAACAGCCCTGCGACTGCACGGTAACTCCACTACTACCGCTATCACCGACGGGATAGTCACCACGTGGGCTACAGGTAGGGCCTCAGGCTCAGGTACGCGCTTCCTCCTCATGTTTTCCCCCTTTACCGCCAGGCGGGCAGTCCGCTGGTCATTTGCTGAGCCCCCAGATTCGCAGTCGGCCTCACCCCACAGCCGCCGACGAGATAGGCGCCGCACGGAGTAGCAGGTAGGCCTACTGCCTTACCGCTTGCTCCCCAGCCACTTCAGGCGGTGGTAGAGCAGCGCCTCAGCCCGTCGGTAAAACCTCAGCCCCACACGCTCTGCCCCCCTGATGCTTCCCGGACAGGACCCGCTGCGCTCCGGCCAATCGTGTCGGCCCAAACCTGTTGTTCGCCTGGGGACACTGTACGCTGCAGTCCCCCGGCGCACCAATCAAAGAGCGGTCTGTATTCCCAAGTTGGCGGTGCCCCGCCTACGCAAACTAGCCGCGGGAGATCTCTTGGCAGTTTGGCCGAGCAACCCAGGGCACCTCCCGTACTTGACTTCAAGCGCCAGTCCGCCCATCATTGCCCGTTGTATGTTGCCCCCTCCCGGTCGAGCGAACTCTACACTGGCCATCCAGGTAGGGCACCAGCTCCCTACCCGCTTAAGCTTACTCTGTCGATCCCCCGCGCGGTTACCTCCCTCACGACCTTTCTACCTACTAACCCTCAACTGCTAACTCTTTCGTCATTCTAGCATTCCCAACGGGTTCACCCCATCGAAAACCCCCACATCACATCCTCTCCCGCCYAATTCCGTTAAGGAACGGGCGGGGTACACTACTTTTACCCCCCCTGTCGCCATGCACATACCTCGCGCGAATACCCGTCCGAGTTCGTTCACTTCGGCTCGCTTGCTTCGCTCCTTTGTCAGGCAATACCCGCCAGCCCATTCATCACTCCATCCATCGCTCTCTCCTGCTAACTACACTCGGCCGCCCACTGCAGCTCACCGTTCTCCTCCTTCCACCCCTTTCACTCCGCTGCGCTAGCCTAGCGCTCGCCGCTCGCTGCCCATCGTCCGCTGCCTGCTCTCTGGTTGCCCGCTCTCCCACTTCGCGTGCACCTGGCGCCTAACGCCGCCCGGGTTCAGCCCCCCTATTGGTCGTTTCTCGGACCTCCTCCTCTGCGGCTACCCGCCTTCCCTTCCACTGTGCCTGGTCATACTTCCTTCAAATGCACCGACGCCCCTTTCTCGCCTTAGTTCATCCGCGTCTTCGTCTC